ATAAAAACTTAATCTTTTTCGCTCTTATTTTAATAAAATACGTGATTAATACATCAAGAACTTAATATCAATAAAAATGGTAACAATACCTCAAGTTCAGATATTATATTGAATGTACAGCATATAATAATTTAAAAATGAATATGTTAAAAGAGAATAAGAGATTAGCTGATTAATAATTAAGTAGATTATATTTAAAAGGAGGAAAATACATTAATATTTTGAAAATTAATATAAATATTTAGTTACAAATAACAAAATTAACTTTAAATATTGCTAAGAAAATTATATTTAATAAAGAAGATGAATATCTTTCAGAAAATTTTATTAATAGTAAATTATCAATACTTTGAAAATGTACTAAAGGTTATAAATGATCTATAAATTCTAATAGTATAAAACACAAAAAATTATGATGTCTAGCAATGTCCTGGAAGTCATCTTACCCAAACTAAAACCATTAAGAATATGCAAATACTTGCAGAAAAAAGAAAGATCTTTGTCTTTCGACTAAATATATTAATAGACAAGATCCTCTTGAATGATAGTGCAAAAAAGTGCATAAATAAAAAACTTCAGTTAAGGATATTATTAAGGAAACTTGATGTTATCAATATTATATACTGGATCGATTACAATACAGTATTGATTTAGCAAAAAATATTGCACAAGCACGAGATGGTAAATGCCTTTCTACAGAATATATTAATGCAACTACTCCAATATTTTAAAGATGCATCAAAGGTCATAAATGATCTATAACTCTTTATCGAATAAAAATGGTGCTTACAATATGCTGGTAACTTTCCTTGTGGTCTCATGAAAGCTAAGAAAATTGCTCACAGTAGAGGAGGTATGTGTCTTTCTACAGAATATATAAATCTCTGTGTTCTGATGCAATGGATGTGTAATAAGAGTCATAAATGGTTCACAAGTTTTAATTATATAAAGCATTTTAAAACATGGTGCCCATATTGCTTAAATAAATAAGAAAACTTATGTCACGAAATCATAATCAATATTCTTGACCCTCCCTTTGACATTCGCAAACCAGATTTCTTGAAAACACCAGAGTATCCTCGAGGATTAGAGCTTGATATCTACTATTCACAATATAGATTTGCAATAGAAGTACAAGATAAACAACATGAGCAACATGTAAAACATTTTCACAAAAATAAAAAAGACTTTAAGAAAAAAAAGAACTCTGTGAAGAAAGTTGGATTGTTCTAAGATATGTTTGGTATTATGAGGATCCATATTTAGTCATTCCAAATCAGGACTCGTTGAATAAACTCAAAACTTTAAATACTTCATGATCATTACGTGTATTATTTTTATTAAAGAATAATTTACAAAATGCCAGAGATACATGATAACTCTATCTGAAAATGGCCTAATGTTTTTTTTCGGACAATCTTTTTCTCCTCAAACCTAAAAAAAGCAATGTATTATTACATATCAGAATCATCATCAAGAATGTAATCATCGCCAAATCTCCGCACAAAAATCGTCGAAAAACAATGTCATTACAATTGACACGTCCAGTATATCAACTTTAGCTTCGTCATAAAATCTGAAAAAAATTAATTAGTATATATAAATGATAAAGCTAAACTCACGAATCTGTGATACTGTCTGTACTACGTTTTATCACTGACGTAATTTTCTGAATCGCGTGATTTCTGTCGATCGTGATGTAATTATGCGATCGATACATAAATAAGGAACAGATTTTTGAAACCGATAATCACGATAATCAGTCTTCTTTATTAATGTCTTCCTCCAAAATCAATCAGCGCGTTTTTCCATCTCACTTCCTTACTCGTCGAGGATCTGACTTATTTCAATCGCCACTTTCGAGACCATATATAAAGACGAATAATGTGAGCTTTTATTCTACAAAAGAAAATGGGGAGATAAATAAAGAAAAAGAAAATTTAGAGAAAAATGAAAGTGTAAAGGAAATAGAGAAAACGATCGTAGAAGAGACTGGGAAACACGGCAATGAAAGTGAGAAGACATCTCCGTCTTCTTCCCGCACCTTTTCCAATAAGTCTTCCCCCTACTTGGATAAGTTTGTAAAGGATTTTTTGCACCTTGTCAAATTTCTCAACAAAATTTGCTATTTGTAGACTGCCTTGGCATATTATTTCGTAGGTGGCCTTGCTTTTTTCATATCAGGAGACAATTTATATTCTTGGTATGTGAACAGGCGTAATGAGCGTCTTCTTAATAAAACCATGGAAAAAGGCACTCGACCTGAAGTGGGAATTTCAGGTGACGAGTATGTTTCTCGACCTGTAATTGCAGAACGCCTCAAAAAAATTATTCAGCCTTATAAAGGTCAATCATTTTACAATGTTGTCTGCGGTGAACATGGAACCGGAAAAACAACATTGATTAAGATTGCATCAAGAGAGGTTGGGCAGGGTGTCATATATGTTGATACTCCTGCTGATATTGAAGACTTTGGTAAAGCATTTGGAAGAGCACTTAACTTCACGTTTGAGGAACATATTTCTTGGTCAGGACAACTGATGCGGAAAGTCTTGGGCAACACTAATTGTAAGTTTTCATTACTGCATTATTGTTGACAATCAATATTTTGAACCTAATTTCTCTTTTTCATAGATAAATTCGAGGATCCCAAGTGGAAGAGAGCCATGGAAGCATTCAAGCGTGCCTCTGAAGTGTATAAAGCGAAGCATGGTAAACCACCGGTCATTGTTTATGACAACGTCAGCCGTATGGTTCACAAGAATCCGGAAATCCTCGACATCCTTCAAGATGATGCCAAGGATAATGCCGATGACAGAAAGTACATCGCAGTGTTTGTCAGCAGTGAAGGTTCGGTGCCTAGAAGAATGGAATGTAAGTACCGATATTATTTTATTTTGTGCTCTCGAAAAATTAGGATTAATTACATATTGTGATTCTTATTTTTAGCACGTAGTGCCTGGTCACGAGCAGATAAACCAGTAATGGAAATTGGCGATCTCAGTGAAAAGGAATCAATGGATTATCTGATAGACAAGCGCAAGATCAACTCTGTAGAAGCAAAAAAATTATATGAATTGGTTGGTGGGCGTATTGTGGATCTAAAGTCTGTGGCGGGCAAATTTCTAGCTGGTCAATCCTTCGAAGGTATGGATTAGTTTCATTATTTTGCATCAAATGAATTTACACAACTCTTTGGATTAATAATTGCTTAACTCTTTTTCTGCTCTTTTTTTAGTCATTAAAAAATCAATTTTAGGTGAAGTTGAGAAGAAATTCAACACTGCACAACTCCTCCGAAAGCAATTGCATCATGAAGTAGGAAAACGCGCTATCAATGCTTTATTGGATTCTAAAACTCGAGAGCTTAAACTTACAGCATTTATGGAATATTTCAATGATTATAAAGAAGCAAATGTAGTATTGGAAAGCAACGTATTTGCATATCATCCGGAAAAATATATTGTTACATTTCAATCCCAATCGATAGAATCCTACATTCGGGAAAACACTGATATATTCGTTAACCTAATTGAACTCACTCCCCAAGAAGGAAAAAGGAAGATGTATTAATCGATCGTATATCAAATAAAGCACAAATTTATGATTGATTAAGAGAAAATGGACGAAATAATCGAAATATATGACATGCTTTCAAGGGAGGGAGTACGCGGATCCTAAGCCATTTAATGCGAGTCCCTGCGTCATATTGTTTCACTGGCTTCGCTAAAACTACTAATATTTATTTTTTTGCTATATACTGTATAAGATTTCCTCGATTGGCTCAATTCTATCTCTGGAGAAACGACACTTCGTGCCTGGATAACGGCATAATATCGATTGATTTCGTTTTGGAGCATTGAGATAGATCCATTGATTGATTCGAATTTGGTTGCGCCTCTACCAAAATTGTTATGGTAATCTTGAAGGACTTGTTCGATCTCATCAAGTCTCGCAGTAGAAGTATTTAGCATTATCAAGATTCTTTGGATCTCCGCTGTAAAGTTTTCTTCACGTGAAATAAGTTCAGCATTAAATTTGGCAAGAATTTCATTAACATGGTATCACGTGTAGAAACGTCGGAATTATGCTTGGTGTTGATGTTTTGCTTAATGATACGTGAAAAATACAACGTGACAACTTACCGTTTGGTGTCTGACTATTCTTCAAGAACCAATCAGCAAATTATATTCAAAATTTGTGTCAAGATATTCACAATTTGTATAGCAAAGACAATAATACAAATTAAATTTTAAAAAAAGTAGAACAGAAAGAGCACAAGCCAGACAACAACAATTACAACAACATCAACAACTTATACAACAACAATAACAATTACAATTACAAATTTAAGCAGTTTTAGTTTTCCAAAAGAATTTTAGAAGAATCCTTGCAAGTAGATTTGTAAACTAGCTTTGTCAACAACAACATGACAGAACATGCAGTACAATAATTAGCTAACATCCTCACCTCTTTCATTCAAGTTATGCAAGTATAACAGAATCAATAGTATGAGATATTGTTACAAGTTTGTTCACTAATCGTTAAATTAGCTTACAAAACCTGAACCTGGGTTGGGAGAGAGTAATAGAC